TGGGTCAGCCCTTCTTACAGCCAGTGGTGCTGACCTGGCCATTTTTCCTTTGCATTTAGGACTCCTCTGTGTGTGTTTGGAAAACCAAACACCATTCAGGTGTTTTGGGGGCAGAGCTAAGTCAAGAAGGCATATATTGGCAGCATTCTTTGTCTTCATCTTGGTGTGAAGCTGTATGGCTCTCTCACTGTCCTGACTTAGTTATCCATTGAAGACAGTCTTGCAGAGAACACAGAATATTCTGGTACCTGCAAAATAGAGCAGCTGTTCTCCCCTCCAAACATTAGGTTACCAAGCCCCCTATTTTAGGAGAATGTGCATTTGAGGAATTTGTGACCAAAAGGGAAAGATGGCCTTGAAAGACTGAGATCATGTGTTTTTCCCCGCTCCTGCAAAAACATTTTTTTCTTTCATTTTCAGGAGAATAAATCAATAGGTAAAACAGATAAGTGAGAATTTCAGTGACCGTTTACAGTTACTAATGATGGATATATGGGTAATTTCCATCAGATCATCTGTGGTTTACTAGAAACTTCTTTGAGGCAGATGATTGGCATACTAAGAGATGTTTTATTTCTAAAAATAACTCTCCACCCACCTGTATATTCAGTGCTTGTCCTGATCTTTTGTTTAAAAAATTGGGTGCTAATAACTGCCTTCCTCCTGAGTCTGGGCCCCAGAAATGCAGCCCCACTGGCTGGGATGTAAGCCCCTTGTGCGTGGCCGGTTATGTAGAATGTAGATGTTTCATTCTGGGACTTGATCTTCTGTCTCTCAGGTCTTCTGTCTTCTCTCTGCCATTCACTTTACCTGCTGTTTCTTTTTCTAACCCCCTTTTCCTGCTCCCTCTAATTGTTCCCAGTGGGACCAACACACATCCTGGAACTAAAATTCTTCTTTACAGAGATATATTAAAGTGAAAGACACTGAGATCTACAAGGGAAACTTAGATTCTTATTCTGAAAAGACAAATAATTATTTATAGTATGATAATTCTAAGAATTTGGAGGCAAATATTGGCTCTCAAGCTATTTAGTCACATATAGAGATGTTACCTAAAAACTCCTTTAGCTGCCCTGTATACATGTTGGGGGCTTCCCTGATGGCTTAGTTGGTGAAGAATCCTGCAATGCAGGAGATCCCGGTTTGATTCCTGGGTTGGGAGGATCCGCTGGAGAAGGAATAGGCTACCCGCTCCACTTTCTGGCCTAGAGAACTCCACGGACTGTATAGTCCATGGGGTCACAAAGAGTCGGACATGACTGAACGACTTTTACTCCACTTCATATACATGTTGATATTTTAAATTTCACTTTTGCTTATTGTTTCTAAGATTTAGAGAGGATTCAGTTCTCCACCAAAAAAATAGTTCCTAAGAGATTGTAAAAAGCATGCCTAATTGTAGGGCTTCCCTGGTGGCTCAGAGGTTAAAGCGTCTGCCTCCAATGTGGGAAACCTGGGTTTGATCCCTGGGTTGGGGAGATCCCCTGGAGAAGGAAATGGCAACCCACTCCAGTATTCTTGCCTGGAGAATCCAATGGTCGGAGGAACTTGATAGTCTACAGTCCATGGGGTCGCAAAGAGTTGGAGACGACTGAACGACTTCAGTTCACTTCAAAGATATTGATTAGTTACATGTAACACTAAAGCAGTTTGCTGTCATCCTTGGCAAATTTTCCCATTTTTTAGTAAGATTAAGGTACTGAAGTTGGCCTCAGATAGGTCTCTAGGGTAGGGTATGGATCTTGCTGATTGTTTATGATGTCATGTAACACTTAAGTGTACATTATTTGTTAGTCACTCACCCATTTCTGACTCTGTGACCCCATGGACTGTAGGCCTCTAGTCTCCTCTGTCTATGGAATTACACAGGAAAGAATACTGGAGTGAGTTGCCATGCCCATCTCCGGGGCATCTTCTGACCCAGGGATCGAACCCAGATCTCCTGCATTGCGGGTGACTTCTTTACCGTCTGAGCCACCAGCCAAGCCCTTGGGTACCTTGAAATGACATGCAGGAGGGGCTTGACCCTCGTCAAAGTTTGGCAAAAGTTTTTCCTCCTAAAGCTTCAAAGCAGGAGAGAGTCCCAAGTGTACCTGGCAGCTGGTGCGTTAAAATAACTCATCTTCACATACAAAGGGTCTCTTCACAGGATTTGGCCAAAGGTCAAGCCTGTTGGATGTATGTTTATAAAACAGAGTCTGTAGAGATGAGTCCTCACTTTGAGTGACAGAAGGAGGAGGGAGGAGTTTGTCACTTAAGTATTCATCACGGTCCCTTGACCTTGTTCTGCACATCTAGCCATGGTTATCTTGGCAGAGAGGTAGAACTATATACTTCCTTATTTAATTCATTTTGTGCTTTATTGTCTTACTCTTGAGGATGGATCCATTCTCTCTCCTTTGAATTCACTTAGAAGTAAAGTTGCTCCCCAAAGAGAGATGAACTTCAGGCTTATGTTGTATGCTCCTGACTAATAACTTTCTCGAAGATAGTGCCATGTACCACTGGGCTTTGAGGCTGAAGATTTGAACTTAACCGTGACTGGTTTACACTAATCTAGAGATACCTCTGGAGCCAAGGGCCATGTCAACTCTCGCCTGAGACTCTGGGCTCTGTAGGGGTGGTAGACATGCTGGAATAAAATCAGGAACCTCAGAGAGAGGAGAAAGAAAGTGATGCATACTTGGTAGATAGCCAGCAGTGTCTAGCACAGTTAATATTATGGCAATTTCCAAGGTAATCTTTTTTTTTTTAAGTATAAAAGCACTCTTGGCCTTTTTCAAGGCTTCAAATAAAATATTGGTCCTTTAAAAATTAATTTCCTCAAATTATAGATTTTGATGCCCACCCACCCCCACCAGATAAGAGCTCCTTGAAGCCAGACCTCATGCCTGGCTCATCTGAATATTCTTGGCACCCAACCCAAGTTCTGAGTCATCATAGACAATGAATATTTGCAAAATAAATGCATATAACTTATTCTCTGAATTCCCCCAGGATTCAAGGACCTCAGACATTGTGTAAAAACAAACCAAAAATCCAGACCTGCAAGACCCTTGACAGAGTCAATTCTGTGGGAGGGTTGCCTTTTTTCCTCTTCATTTTCAGTACTGGCTTTTTACTTTGATTTTATTTTTATGAAGTTCATGGCTACCTTCACTAACATTAAAACTCTATTTTTTAGATTCATTTAGCAGGGTGACTGTTTTTTTAAGTTCATTACAATTATACCATAATTTGAGGACATATATCATATTTTAAAATAGATTGTTTACTCCTGTTTTAATATCCTTAAGTTTGTTTTTTTTTCTCCTCTTCTCCCTGTCTACTACCAGGATGATAGAAAATGGGAGTGCATTTTAGCAGGCCCAGGTGTACTTGCTGTCTCTTAGGCTGTCATTGTAGTGGGTTGACTTAACAATCCCATTTAGAAGGTAAATTACAAACATTCATCAGCAAGTGATTTTTCTAAAGTCTTCATATTAGCTGGCTCTTGTTGCCACAACAAATTAGCACAAAAGTCGTGGCTTAAAACAACATGGGTTTATTCTGTGGCTACAGAATGCATGGAAGGCAGAAGTCCAAATGGTTCTTATTTGGCTGAAATCTAGGCATCAGCAAAGGTGCCTTCCTTCAGGAGCCTCAAGCAGAGGGTTGCTCCTTTCCTTCACTTTTTCCAGCCTCTAGAGGCTGCCTGTATTCCTTGAATCATAGCTCCTTCCTGCATCTTCAGAGTCAACAATGTAGTATCTTCAGATTCTGACCGGTTTCTGACTTGACTCTTCTGCCTCCTGTTTTTTAAAGATTTTGTGATTACCTTGAATCCATCCACATAATCCAGGGTGAGCCCTCGACCTCGAGATCATTAATTACATCTGCAAACCTCTTTTTGTCATGTAACGTAACATATTTGCAGGTTCTAAGGATTAGGGTGTGGACATCTTTGGGGCCATTCTCCTGTCTACCGTAAGCGTGCATGCATGCTAAGTCGCATCAGCTGTGTTCAACTTTGGTGATCCTGTGGACTGCAGTCTGCCAGGCTCCTCTGTCCATGAGATTCTCCAAGCAAGAACACTGGAGTGGGTTGCTGTGCGCTCCTCCAGGGGGTCTTCCTGACACAGGGATCGAACCCAGGTCTCTTATGTCTCCTGCATTGGCAGGCGGATTCTTTACCAGTAGCACCACCTGGGAAACCACCACAGTCGTAGACCCACACAGTGTTCTCATAGAGTTCCCCTCCCTTGAGTTTCTAGCTTTCTGTGTACTCCGGAGAAAGGCTTTGATTTTTTTGTGTGTGTCTTCCCCTGATATTTCTGTCTTGGATATTACTACTTTAATTTTATGAAGTGATAAAGAATCCGCCTGCCAGTGTAGGAGACATGGGTTCAATCCCTGGGTCAGGAAGATGCCCTGGAGAAGGAAATGGCAACCCACTCCAGTATTCTTGCCTGGAAAATCCCATGGACAGAGGAGCCTGACGAGCTATATAGTTCATAAATTCGCAAAAGAATCAGATATGACTTAGTGACTAAACTGCAATAATATCAGCAAAACATTATCTGTGTTTGTGTGGACACATCAGGGTGGGTAGATAGATGTTCAGCAACACGGTATTTGGACAGTAATGATAATGCATTGGGTTGGCCAAAAATTTCACTCAGCTTTTCCTATTACATATATGGAAACATGAAAAAACTTTTTGGCCAACCAGTAATTAATAATGGAAAAGGAGGCAGCAACTTGGCAATTGAAACCCCATGAGTTGTAGATAGAGGTATTTTTTGTTGTTGTTCTCTTGTTTTTTGTTTTGGCTGCAGCATGTAGCATGAGGGATCTTAGCTTCCCTACCAGGGATGGAACCTACATCTTCAGCAGTGGAAGCACAGACTCTTAACCAGTAGATTGCCAGAGAGGTCCCCAGGCAGAGGTTTTTAAAACTCGTCTTTATAGTGACCTGTTCAGTGAACTCACAGAGCCTTCTAACTTTTGTCTTTTAGGCTTATGTACAGAAGTACATCGTGAAGAATTATTTCTACTATTACCTGTTCCGATTTTCAGCTGCTTTGGGACAAGAAGTGTTCTACATCACATTCCTTCCATTCACTCACTGGAATATAGATCCTTATTTGTCCAGAAGACTGACCATCATATGGGTTGTAAGTATTAATATTACTTATGGACCAGTATTTTTTCTGCAACAGCCATCTGCTTTGATATTCGAGTACTCTGCATATTTGCTCTTTTTTAAAAAGTCACTTAGAGCTGAATTTTTACCTGGTTTACTTTGGGAAAATGAAAGGAAAAAATTTTTAAAGCTTTGTGTGAGTAAGACTAGGAGAAGAGAGAGATGATGTTCAGAGAAATGACCTTTCTGAGAATCCAAGTAATGGTGGTGCATGTGTGCATGCTCAGTCATGACCAACGCTTTATGACCACATGGACTGTAGCCCAGAACCCAAGATGGGGCATAAAATGTCTCCTCTCAAGAAGCCCCTTTTAGTAAAATTTCATCAAAAACTGAAAATAGGAGTTGTTGACTAATAATACCACTTGGAATTCCTAGGAGAGGAGAGACATGATGTGGTATTAAGTGTGACTTAATTCCAAGTGGTTTTAAGTGTAACTACTCTGTACCTATTAGACACAAAGGCATATAAGGCAGGGCAGCTTTAATTTGATGGAGTTTCTTGTATTAGGGTGACAGCTGGCCTATACATGGAAACTCATTGACAATTCCAGGTGAAACAGTGGAGCCCCTTCTGATGTTTTGTTTCAGACCCTATCATTGAACTTTGTTCAGGACTAAATTCTGATTTTTTTCTTTTTTTTAATTGAGGGAGATAGTAGCAAAGTGTACTGTGAGCATCGAGGCCCTGGGATCAGATTGGCCTGGGTTCAAGTGCAGCTCAGCCAATGCACTTGTCTGTGTGCCTGAGCCTGTAAAACAGTGTTAATAATGTGCATCTTAAGAATAATCCTGAAGACATTTTTGGTGTGGCCTAGCATGTGGAAGGGATCTGCAGGTTGCTATAAGCACGTAATGCATAGTGATGAGTCCACGAAGGCGAAAGTCTGAAAGATCAATTCTTAGGTCAAAGATTGTTTAGCCAGGAGAGGGTGGCTTCAGGGACGTGGCTGCCAGCACGGCTGTTTCCTGAACGCAAGATTCCACCTGAAAACTGAGCTTCGGAAGCACTTGGTCATGGGTAAAGGGTTCTCAGGCAGCTCTGTTCTGAGAAGCTGTGGCTGCTCGTCTGGGGCTTTATTTTTCTCATCTGTAGAAGGGAGAGATGGGTCTTGTTTGGAGCCATAAATGCAAATGTCACAAAAGGCAGGGGGTAGAAATAGAAGTGCTGGGTGGGGCGGGCTGGCGGGTGGGGATGCAGCTGGGGCACTGGGAGTGGCTGCCCTCCCCCTCCACCTGTGCCCGAGAGAGGAAAAGCAGGGTGGAATTGTCAGATCTCTTTTTCCTGTGAAGTCTTTAAATGAAGGCTTACAGTTTTTCAAAGATGATTTTTATTTATTTACTTTATTTTTGGCGGCACCGGGTCTTGGTTGCTTTGTGCGGGCTTTCTCTAGTTGCAGCAAGTGGGGGCTACTCTTCGTTTCAGTCCTTGGGCTTCTCATTGCGGTGGCCTCTCTTGTTGCTGAGCGCGGGCCCCAGGGTGCTTGGGCTTCAGCTGTTGTGGCTCGCAGGGTCAGTGGTGGTGGCACATGGGCTTATTGGTTATTCCACAGCATGTGGGATCTTCCCAGACCAGGGATCAAACCTGTGACCCCTGCATTAGCCCACAGATTTTTATCCACTGGGCCACCAGGGAAGTCCTAGGCTTGCATTTTAAAAGCTTTATATGCTAGCTGAAAAAAGCATCCTTGAAATGCAGACTTCCAAGGCCTGGACTGAAGTCTCTGGGCTAAAGGACAAGTAAGGTCCCTCAGGCTTGTGGTCAGGATTATTTGGCCCCTAATTCTTCCTGATTATTGGCTCTTTTTCTCTCTCATGCTACAAGTCACTGTTTCCTTTCTCCGTCTCTGTCTCCCAGCCAGCCCTCTTCTGAAATCTAGCTTATGTCTAAAAATATGATCCAATGAGAATGTGCAAAAGCATAAGAATCTTGGAAGAGATGAACATTAGTGCAGTTGTTCCCCTCCTTTCTGAAGTGTGCACCCAAGATCCATGGTACTTGCATTCCTTTTCTTATCATTTATTTTCTGAGATTTTCATGTAGTCGATAAATTGTGTCTGACTCTACAATCCCACGGACTGTAGCCTGCTAGAGTCCTCTGTCCATGGGATTTCCCAGGCAAGACAACTGGAGTGGGTTGCCATTTCCTTCTCCAGGCGATCTTCCTGACTCATATCTCCTGCATTGGCAGGCAGATTCTTTACCATTGAGTCACCAGGGAGGCCCCTTTTTCTGAGATTTTTTTTTTTTAACTTTTATGGTAGTTGAGTGTGGTAAATGATGCAAAATATTTTTAATAACCCAGCAATATCTTATACTGTGTACAGTCAGTTTGAGGTCAGTTATCTTGCCCTCTGAGGGTGGAAAACTTCTTGAGGGATCGGGAAAATCTTTAGCTGTTTGCATCAGGTGTCTGAAGTATTGGAGTTTCAGCTTCAACATCAGTCCTTCCAATGAATACCCAGGTCGGATCTCCTTTAGGATGGACTGGTTGGATCTCCTTGCAGTCCAAGGGACTCTCAAGAGTCTTCTCCAACACCACAGTTCAAAAGCATCAATTCTTTGGCACTCAGCTTTCTTTATAGTCCAACTCTCACATCCACACATGACTACTGGAAAAACCATAGCCTTGACTAGATGGACCTTTGTTGGCAAAGCAATGCCTCTGGTTTTTAATATGCTATCTAGGTTGGTCATAACTTTCCTTCCAAGGAGTAAGCATCTTTTAATTTCATGGCTGCAATCACCATCTGCAGTGATTTTGGAGCCCAGAAAAGTAAAGTCAGGCACTATTTCCACTGTTTCCCCATCTATTTGCCATGAAGTGATGGGACCGGATGCCATGATCTTAGTTTTCTGAATGTTGAGCTTTAAGCCAACTTTTTACTGTCCTCTTTCACTTTCATCAAGAGGCTCTTTAGTTCCTCTTCACTTTCTGCCATAAGTGTGGTGTCATCTGCATTTCTGAGGTTATTGATATTTCTCCCAGCAATCTTGATTCCAGCTTGTGCTTCTTCCAGCCCAGCGTTTCTCATGATGTACTCTGCATATAAGTTAAATAAGCAGGGTGACAATAGACAGCCTTGACGTACTCCTTTTCCTATTTGGAACCAGTCTGTTGTTCCATGTCCAGTTCTAACTGTTGCTTCCTGACCTGCATACAGGTTTCTCAAGAGGCAGGTCAGGTGGTCTGGTATTCCCATCTCTTTCAGAATTTTCCACAGTTTATTGTGATCCACACAGTCAAAGGCTTTGGCATAGTCAATAAAGCAAAAATAGATGTTTTTCTGGAACTCTCTTGCTTTTTTGATGATCCAGCAGATGTTGGCAACTTGATCTCTGGTTTCTCTGCCTTTTCTAAAACCAGCTTGAACATCTGGAAGTTCATGGTTCATGTATTGCTGAAGCCTGGCTTGGAGAATTTTGAGTATTACTTTACTAGCATGTGAGATGAGTGCAATTGTACAGTAGTTTGAGCATTCTTTGGCGTTGGCTTTCTTTGGGATTGGAATGAAAACTGACCTTTTCCAGTTCTGTGGCCACTGCTGAGTTTTCCAAATTTACTGACATGTTGAGTGCAGCACTTTCTCATCATCTTTCAGGATTTGAAATAGCTCAATGGAATTCCATCACCTCCACTAGCTTGTTTGTAGTGATGCTTCTTAAGGCCCACTTGACTTCACATTCCAGGATGTCTGGCTCTAGGTGAGTGTGAGTGATCACACCCTTGTGATTATCTGCGTCGCGAAGATCTTTTTTGTACAGTTCTTCTATGTATTCTTGTCACCTCTTCTTAATATCTTCTCCTTCTGTTAGGTCCATACCATTTCTGTCCTTCATTGAGCCCATCTTTGCTTGAAATGTTCCCTTGGTCACTCTAATTTTCTTGAAGAGCTGACTCATTTGAAAAGACCCTGATGCTGGGAAAGATTGAAGGAAGGAGGAGAAGGGGATGACAGAGGATGAGATGGTTGGATGGCATCACCGACTCAATGGACATGGGTTTGAGTGGACTCTGGGAGTTGGTGATGGACAGGAAGGACTGGTGTGCTGTGGTTCATGGGGTCGCAAAGAGTCAGACACGACTGAGTGACTGAACTGAACTGAACTGAAAATCTTTAGACCCTGTAGGAGACAGTGGTTATGGGACTCTGATTCTTATCGTGGGTGGTTGTTTTTAATTTGGAGTCCTGATTTCAGAGCACTCAAAGGATTTTCGACTTGAGGTAGAATTACGAGTCTTTTATCAGAGACTGGGCAAGTCAAATCTTCACCTGAGAGAGGAAAGAGCAGCCTTTGAGTGTGCTGTTCATCGTGAGCTTTGGCAACCTGTATTTGCTTTTAGAGATGAGTGAATGATCAGATCCACAAGGCATCCTTGTAGAGAGTTGTGTAATTCATATCCGTGAGGCATTCCTGGCAGTTAATGGTGGAGAGACAGTGGTGGGTCCAAGGAGGGTTGGAGGGAAGTAAGGAAAAAAGGGCAAAGGGAGGTAGAGGTTTGGAGGGGGCAGATACTGAGAGGTGGGAAGGTGGTTGCTCTGTCCTCAGTTGTGGAGATAATAATGGGAGAGGCTTGGTTTGGCTCCACTGTTGAAACTGGGTGGAGGAAAGGAAAATTCCTGATGGTGTTACAGGGAGCTAGGAGGGGAGGTGGGCTGGACATGGGGTGGACATGCATGCTAAGTGCTTAGTCCCTTCAATCATGTCTGAGTCCATGCGACCCCATGGACGGTAGCCCTCCAGGCTTCTCTGTCCATGGGATTCTCTAAGCAGGAATACTGGAGTGGGTTGCTATTCCCTTCTCCATGGGATCCAATCCAGGGATCCAACCAACATCTCTTCCATCTCCTGCACTGGCAGGCGGATTCTTTACCACTAGGGCCACCTGGGATGGAGATGGGTGAGATTCTTTTGGGCAGTCAGTTTCCTGCTGTGGCGGCCTGTCTCCTGTGAGGGATATCACTAAA